TTCAAATGTGAGAGTATTTGCTTCTCCCCAATTCACACACACACAAATACTTATTATATTTATTTTCTTTACGATATTCTCATCTTCAAAATTTATCTCTTGGTTGCGAATCTAGAAGTGTCGAGCGTAGATTTGTGCCGCTAAAATTGATGGTTGTTGACTAGAAGTGGGAATCGGGATTGTATCCTCCAATGGCGGAGTCCATCTCTTCTAAATTGGTGTGCTGCTCATCTTTGACGATCATGTTATGAAGGATAATGCACGTTTTCATTATGATGCATAAATTTTCTTTCTTCCAAAATTTGACTAGTTCTTGTGTGATTACCCACTCGATCTGTAAAACCCCAAAAGCTTGTTCCAAATCCTTCCTACAGGCCTCTTGTTTTTTAGTAAATAATCTTTCTTTCGCAGTGGTTGGGTGCGGGATGCTTTACGTCAAAGTTGCCCACTTAAAGTACATACCATCAGTTAGATAATACCCCATTCGATTTGCATGCCATTCACCAAAAAATTAACCAGGGGCAATTGTGATACCCTCGAATTTCCGAGTGCGGGTTGGCCAGGCCCACGCCCGAATACCCGATGATATCAAAACAAATTGATAATAAACGAACACAGAGTACAAAAGAATAAAGAAGAATAAATAAAATGCTGACAAGAAACTAAAATGATAATCTAATAATAAACCTCATAATATATTTCCATTAATTAATAAACTCTTCTGATACAACTGATCCTCCAAAATACAACTCGGGAATCCATACTGTGTGAACCCCTAGAAAATCCAAACTAAACAAATGACAGTAATCTAAAATAGGAAACTGAATCATAAAGGAACTCCTATGTAGCATCGGAAGAATGAAGTAGACTGATCCCCGCTCAGCACGAACAATCTCTACTCGTGACAAACACCTGAAAAATAATGGTGGGTCAGGCCTACAAACAAGTTCTACTCTACTACAGTCCAAGCAGAGATCCGATACACGTATACATCCTAGTCAATCCAACAATAACTAGTAGTCCGTATATATATATATACACACACTAAAGGAACCCCACTAGACTATAGGGTTGTCTCAACCTGAATAGTAGGCAACATGCAAAACGCACATATAGTGGGCATGAGTACCTAGACCTACCAGGGTACACAACTACACTATATCTAACTACACATCCCTAGCGATATACGCGCCCTAACCATTGATCCTGAGACTCAAGCTCATATCATGGCACCATACTTATATATATATGATCTAGTGACCATCCTATCCAGTATAAATTAATCCTCCATAAGTCATTCAACTTGTTCAGCTGACCTGACTTAAATATAAGTAGGACTTAACATTTTAATTAATCCATTCCCTTATATAATAAATTAATCATCCATAAGTCATTCAACTTGTTCAGCTGACCTGACTTAAATATAAGTAGGACTTAACATTTTAGTTAATCCATTCCCTTATATAAAATAGGTAGGACTTAACTGATAAGTTAATCCATCCCTAGAATGCCACCATCCCATACTGGTGCATTAAACCACACAATCCAACAATTGATGTAACAATTAAGGAAATACATCAAACATTTCATAAATAATTATGATAAATATGATATCAAGTTATCACATAATAGGAATGACTTATTATTTCTTTAAATTTCCTATATCATATGTCCTACACAAACTGAATCTTATACATGATGATATTTTATTATACCGTTAAATAAGGATTCTCTATATCCAATTCATCCTACACATTTAATCTCAATTGCTAAAATATTTTAAAAGATTAAATCCATTCGTTTGTTTAAAACATTCAAATAGCAAGTATCATTATGATTGAGTCTATTTAAATTTATTAAAACCCAAACCTAGTCCCTATTTAATGTTTAGGAATCCTAGGCATGTTTCTACGTTCCATCATTCCACAGATATGAAAAATACGTAATTTAAACATGTAAAAATTCACATAAGAAATCAAATCAAAATCATGCATTTTATCAATTCATAACACAAGAACAGATATGAACTAATTTCATAAAACTTATATTCTAACCTAATTAAACATGCATAATTATTTAATTTTATGTGTTTGATAAATCCTGAAATTTCCTAGGCATTTACAGAAACACGAATCAAAGGGAAAGAGATAGAAGAAGAACTTGCCTTAAACTTTCGGATCGAAAGTTAAACTTCTTCTTCCTTGATCTTCTCTCTATAGGGTTTTTCTCTTCATTCCTTCCTTTTCCTCCTTCCCTCTCTAACACTATCTCTCCAGTATATATCACGTGAATATTTCTAACCCCCCTTTACAACCTATAGCTATATATTTATAAGCTAAATAAAATAACCCTAACCCTTTTCCCAATCCAAGTCAACTAAAAAAAATGAAAATAAAAATATTAAAAAGGTAAGCAAAATATGTTACGTATATAATTTATGTATATGTTTATTAAATAAATAAATTATACACATTCCATTATTTATTAATGGATTATCCAATAATATTTAAGTTACCATAATATTATAAAGTAACTTAAAACATAACACGTATCAAATCTATGTATATTTTTATTATTTAAATAAACATATACATCAGATTAAATATTACTACCCAAATTACCATAAAAGTAATTAATAAATTACTTTCTCTTTTATATATATATATATATATTAAAAAGATAAGTAAAATATGTTACGTATATAATTTATGTATATGTTTATTAAATAAATAAATTATACATATTCCATTATTTATTAATGGATTATCCAATAATACTTAAGTTACCATAATATTATAAAGTAACTTAAAATATAACACGTATCAAATCTATGTATATTTTTATTATTTAAATATAAAACATATACATTAGATTAAATATTACTACCCAAGTTACCATAAAAATAATTAATAAATTACTTTTCTTTTTATATATGTATATAATATATATACATACATTATCCATGGGTAATAATCCATACATATCTAACCTCCTATCCAAGTAGTCCATGAGACCCAATTGGTTGGCCCATTACTACTAACCATAACCATAAAAGAAAAATAAAATAAAATAATAAAAGAAAAGAAAATATTTAATTTACAATTAATCAAAACACCATTTAAGCACATAATCTAATTAAACAACTAACACATAGACAAATACAAATAATACATAGACACATAATCAAATAATCAAGTAATACCTAATTCAATTAAACACATAAGCAATTAGTCAAATAATTAATTAAATAATTAAAAAATACAATTAAAACAAATAAATAAATACCGAGACTATCTTTTTAAAATTAGGGGTATTACAGCAATCGACCATTGACAATACTATTGAATATCAGTAATGATCTAGTACATTTATATCATTGTGTGAACTTGAAATTCTAAATAATGCATGCCAGATTCACAAATCTTTTGACACAAGCGCTTCCAATATGAGAGTAGCCCTATGGGAGCGTCCCTTATGCGTGTCATGCCACTTCACTGGGCAAGTTTTCTACTCCCAATGCATATAGTCGATAGAACCTAACATACCCATGAATCCTCTCTCTTCCCTTTCTTGGAGTCACCGTGTTACGTCAGCTTCGTTGGGTGTGCGCAAGTACTCCTCTTTATACACAGCAACAATAGCAGTTGTCATCTTTTGTATATAAGATAACCCAAACAACCCGTCACAACCTGAATTGTCTATGAAAGTACTCCGGTGGATATGTGTAATTCTTGGCAAAGTAGTCTTTCATTAGCTAGCGATGGCTTACCTCTTGGTCACGATGAATGTACCGTTTCTTACGGACTTGAAAGACTTCCTCTACTATCTTTAGCTTCTCACAATGCAAAAGTTGCTGAGTATAATCGCAATTCCATTGAATCAATGCCTCAATAGAGTCATTTGATGAGGTAGATGATTAAGAAGATGAAGAATTTGAGTCTGACAAAGGAAATTTTTGTGACGACGAAGCCATTGGAATTTCGAGATTTAAGGAGATGGATAATGATATTTTGCTATATTGAAAGAGATGAATATAAGGATGATTCTCAGATGATGAATAAATGAGTTATTATATAAGAGAAAAAATATACTTGTTAAAATATAGTCGTTGGTAAAAATATATGTATATATATAATTAAATAACTATCATTTTTAGAGAGCGAAAATTGTTGCAGCGCCAAAAATTGGAGAGCAGAAGTTACCTACGTGGCTCTTGGAAATACTGATATGGCTAACTTAGAGAGCAAAATTTTAGAGAGACAGCTGCAGATGGCCTTACGGGCTGGCGTATTTTTTTAATTTAATTTTGATTTAAAAGTAAGAAGTATATAGAGATATAAGAGAATGTACAAGGGCCAAGCCTGAAAACCAAACAAGGCCCAAAAGGGCTTACACCCAAAAAGCAAACAGAAAATTTAACAAGACCAAAATGGGATTGAGCCCAAGTAACCCAAAGGTTCAAGTCCAAGCCCACTGTGTCACCAACTGCCTTGGAACAACATTAACTGCCTTTGCTTGAGCAATTCAAAAGGAGAACGAATATGTTCGATACAGAGGCATCAATGGATGAAGCAAGGGGGGCAATTGCATTGTGTGGTAGAGAAGAAGCGCATTCGAACAGATTCAACAATGGTGGAAAGGGTTTCAAGTGTAGGTTTTGGAAGGTTTCGAATATTCGATTGTTGCGTTCCTTCCGGCTATGGTAGACGAAGCTCGCAAAGGTTAGTTTCCATGATAAAATAATGCTTGATTTCAATTTCTGTTTCCAATTTGATGATGCCCAAAGTAGGAAATCGTTACAGCAATTAGGGTTTGTGCAGCAGTCATAATTGATTTCCGCTCAACCATGATATAAATGAACAGGTGATTGCCTGTCCTTTCACAGTTTCACTTGCAATAGTACCCTCTGTTTTGAATGTCACTCCAGGGACCCTGTTTAAAGAATTGGTTGTAAATAACCACCCTGTATGCAACTATCTCATTGGATACATTTCGATATATGAGTTCAATGTGAATACAATTGATCTTGAACAGTTCATAGATATCACACCAGCCCAACTCACTATGCTTGCACTTAATTTTGAACAGCTCATAGATAGATAATTGGTGCATAATTTGTTCTGATCACAAACAAGGCGGCCATTTTGCTTTCTAAAGAGGACAATCACTGCCCTGGTTTGTCGAACTTCCATAAGCAGATATATTACCACTTGACTGATAACAGGATATAGATAACTTCCTAAGCAACATATTCATACAGGGTCATAATCTAAAGTATGTGGGAAGAAGGAAATTCAGTACTTGGATAGCCAAATTACATCGACAATAGCCGAGGCAGCAAGCAAGAAACAGCTGAAGAAACTGAAGGCGATTGAGACAGCAACATGGTCACAGAAGCTATGTAATGGCTTGCAGAAATTTGGTAGCGCTGAATGTCGGATTCCTGTGCGGTTCAGGTTGGTGACACCTGAAGCAGCGGATCCAGCACTCATCATTGCATATGCAAACACCTGCAGCATTATAAAAGATAAGGCTACCGTACTAATTAAACAAGAAAATGAGAAAAATAAAAATTCCCATGTTCTGGCCTCAACCATAGGTCCCTCAACTGGTAATCCAGTATATATACAAATATTCAAATTATGCCATTTAAGCTCCTGCACAAATTCAATGTGCCCCAAATTCCTTCTTGATTCATGTCTCTCTCGTAAAAGGGCAATACATTCCTATGTAGCTTCAAGCAATCAGTTGGACCAAGAAAAATATATGGATGCATATATTTGGGGAGAATGTAGAAACAAATATCAAGCCTGAAATTTTTTCAATGCAATATCATAATTTCTACAGATACCTACGCTGTAAATGGTAAGGCACTCTTGTTATATGTAGTTTCAAGCAATCAGTTGGACCAAAGATGTAAACAGTAAGATGTTCTCCATTAAGAAGTCTTAAACCTTTTCTAGAGAAAAAAGTTTGGACCAACAGGCAAATGGCCTAGCGGTATCGGCCTCTTACTTCCCAAAGGGAGGTCAGGGGTTCAAGTCTCAGAAGAGACATGTGTGTGTGAGTACCAACTAGGAAAAAAAAAAAAAAAAAATGTTGTCATACCATGAAAGAAAGAATCTGTCCCCCCTTGCCTCCCCAGGACATTTGAATTCATGGACCCAAAAACATACTCTTGCCTGGTCTGAGACTTGGAGGATCTCATCATAGTTCTGATCCAAGTTCTTCCTTATAATTTTTATTTTACTTACTTTATTGTTTGGAGGGCGGGGCTTCTAGATCCTATTTCTAGCTTCCTAATTGAACAATTCAGGTCTACTGAGAAGATTATATAAACCAAAATCCTGCTAGCTTTGCCTAAAACAATAAATGGACTTGTCAAACATGATTACATCAGAATACAAATAACCACAACATAAGCAGAAACTAAAGATATGCTAACCAACATAGCTTGTAGAAGATGTGCTAAAGGTCATGAAGTGGCAATATGAGATATATGAATGAATGACAGTTAAGGCATGTTCTTTTGATAGTACGTGGATTGACTAACTAAGGCTGTGACCTCAGCCGAATGGAAACACAAGATTCATGTACCCGAACCCTATTGATTGAGAAAGGTTTGGTAGTTGATGACATGATGCAGTAGTACTTTTGCTGGGACTAACTACCTGTGCCTTGGCAGATTAAACACACTAACATTTAATTCTAATTTAAAAATGAAAATACCACTTTACCTGATCCCCAGCAAAAATAAGCCACGCATGATTCCGAGAAGGAACCACTGGAGATTTCCGCAGCAGTCTCGACGCGCTAATAAGCAGCTGAAGCAAAGAATGAGCCGCAACAGCCGCCGAAACTCCTACCAGATACCTGTTCAGCACAAATTCACAGTATCAACAACTTTGATCATTCAAAACACATTTCTAAACCTAACCTTGCGCTCAAACAGTCCTCAATATACACTTAACAGCTGTTTCAGATACTTGCCAGTACCATTATCACACTGATTAGATGAACTTCACCCACTCAATGCAATAATGACCCACGTAATCTCTTGTAGTCCCATTGCACTCAACCTCATAAAAATTCATTAATAAATTACGTACTTATAAATTATAAGCCAGTAGAGTGACACCTCTTTGTAAATATGGAAAATGATAAAAGTCCCGTTCGATTTTTGTAACTGACTGATATGGCCATCGTTGATTACTCTGCAAGAGTCCTTGTTGGACACCGCTTATTGCCAAAAACAGATTAAGCCATCGTAGCATTACTATATAAAATAAGCATTTCTTTCAAAGGGAGTTGACAAAGATGACCCTTTAATGTATACGAATCAAACAGAGATCATAAAAGGAATATCTATTTTTGCCCCAAATCAGTGACTTCACAAAATTATTAGTTAGTTTAAGAGATGGTATGATACCCAACTCAAGACTCAAGAGTGAGCTTCCATAGGCTTCCATAGCTAATTAGTTATGGTAGTACCAAAGGAGGACCTAGGAGGCAATACCATAAATTCCAAGGTACAGTAATGTCCAAAGGAGAAATTCACTCACGGGTGTGGGTTTCTATTCATTGAAATGAAAGAGGGTTTGCCAATATTTGTCGCTTTTCAGAAACATCAACCCCCACTGGTAACGTCGTCAATATAAAATTCAACCACAGCAGCATAACCTCCATCACAACTCACAAGACAAACAAAGAGATACGGCGAGATGGACCCTTTAGGTTTTAAAATAGAATCACAAAACATGGGTATTTTAGTCAATGACAACTGAAAGGGATTTAAGTACGAAAATATAAGAAATTAAGGAAATTGAAAAAAAGTAGGTAATATTTTGAATATAGGGTTCCAAGGCAACTATCTGGCTTAGGACTTGTTCGGAACAGTTTAACTATTTTTTTTTTTTTTGGTTTAAATAAGTTTAATATGAAGCATTGGATTCGAACTTGGTCTTTTCTTTTCTTTTCTCAAGGTTTCTGGGCAACCAAACGGAGTGTGTTAACAACAAATTAAACATATCTTACAAGAAATCAAATGGACATTTCAGTAATTTGAAGGTGGTCAAGCGAACTTACTCGAACGAGTCAGAGAAGGACCACTTGGAGTACACAGGAAGGCTAAAGCCGTAGATGGAGATGGTGGCAGATTTCTTCGCCGTGGCCATGAACGAGAGTGCAACCACCGAGGTCGACAGACACAGTAGCCGGAGAACAACGTGAGTGATGTCAGTTCTCCGGCTACTGTTCCGATCAGGCCTCGTCGGAACCAGCGGGCCGCTCATTGATCCAGTCTCCGCCGCGACCTTCGCCTCCGGCAGCTGTATCCCCACCTCCGACGGTGTTTTCCGGCCGCTCATCATCATCGTGTTAGTTTCTCTCTCTAGAAGGAGTGGGGTTTGGGAGTGTGAGCGAGAGAATCGGGGTTTTTTAAATGGGGAAGCGGGTATGGGGGAGTGTGTGGATTACCTGCCTGTGACAGTGAGGAGACACGTGTAGGGTTTGTGTTGGAACAGAGTCAGGTGGGTTGGGTGTGTCACAGAGTCCGTGACTGAACAGTTTCAGTACGGTGGAATTGGTGCTTTGTTTGTTTTGTTGGTTCAGGCCCTTTTGGAATTTACACCACCTCAATTTATCTTCATCAATCTGTGACTTCTATTTGTTTTAAAAAAAAAACTGGAGTTCTATTGTTTACTTGCTTAATTAATCAAATTAGTAAATTAAATTTCTAAAGAGCTTTTATATATTTTAATTTTAACTAACTTTAATTCCACGTATTTGATTAATAATTAATTTGGAGAGAATTTTTTTTTTCCAAATCTAGGTAATACTTATGTCACATAGAGCGGAGCAAGAGCTAATGCAAAAAATGGCAAAATAAAACCCAAAAATGATAAAATTTAAATCATATAGAATGGGAGCAAAGGCAGGAGCACATCACATTAGGGCATGTTTGATAGACATTTATTTTTGGTGTTGAAAAATATTTTGTTTTGTACATTGCCAAAACTTTCGGTAAATACTGGTCAAAAGTGAAAACGTTTTCAAAGACGGTGGTGCTACCGAACAAGGTGAATATGGTGGGTACCACATTCTTGCTGGCTTAGCACGTCTGTTGTCCAGTTAAGACTGAATTAGCCCAAATAGCAATGGTATACACTGGTTTAAGTAGGTGTTTGTATCCATATTGACAAAATTGAGTCGACACAAACAGCTTTGTACTTGTAAAACAGACTTATCATGTTCCCGTCCCAGTTCTTACCCGATGAAGTTTGAACTTTTGAAATATTAATCTTTGGACAACATCAAATGCCATTGATCATAGCCCTCCATCACAATACAATAATTTGAAAAAAAAAGTTCAGTATATTTAGGGTGTTGTTTGATTTAAGAGTTAAATCAGAAGTCCAAATTAGGAATCAAGAATTTTCTTTATTTGTTTTTATTTATTTATTTATTTATTGGATTTTAAGTAATAATTGAAGTGGCCATCACTTTTTTCTTTTCTTTTTTTAAGTTACATTTATTCATTTTAAGTTGCATCCTTACTATTTTATCAAATACAGTTAATTAAATATAAAAATGATCTATTACAAGCTAGTGTAAAAAAATTCATCCACAATAGTAACCGTTGGATATGATTATTATATATATATGTATATAGAAAATTAATTTTTGTATACTTAAATCATATTTAACTGTCATTGTTATTGATGTGGAGATATTTTTTTGAAACATTCAAAAGTAAGTAATTAAGTTATCAATAACATATAATTATAGAATTTGAATATAGAACTGTAATTTCTTTTACAGTTGTAATCTAAATGAAACAAAACTAGACAAAGAGAAAATAATTTTTCAAAGGCAATTAATCTTGGGTGTTACCAACCATATCATGCCACCTTTTATGATGTGATTTTTAGTTTTTATTATGAGCTTCTATTATTTTACCAATTCCGTACGAGTCTTGTGACCATTATATTATGTGCACAAGAAATAAAAAAACAATGGTGGGGCTGACTTCAATTCCAGGATTTGTGGTGAACAATAAAACCCAGGTTGCCTGGAAGTGGAATGCGTCATGCCCTCCTCTTCCAGGACACTGTCAAAAGTGCATGCTAAAACAATCCACGCGCAACCTCCATAAATGGACACCTACACTACTACTCCATTTTTATGGATCTACTTTAATTGTGCTGGCGTAATGGATTTTGATATATATATATATATATATATATATATATAGGTCACAGTCACAATACGTAGAGTACAATTATTGTGATGCATAGAGGAAGGATAAGGTGCAGGATTGGTACTCATTCAGAAGCAGTGGTTTCAATGAGTAAGACGGTTGGTTGTACGTGATGGTATCAACCACATCAGATGATCAGATGACGATAAAGACTACACAGTACATTAAAAACACCAATGTCCCACATGGTTGGTGAAGGAGGTCGTAAGCCTTACAAATTAGTAGTAATATTCATCAACTTAATTGATGATTCAATTCCAGTTTGGAAGGAAGCCCACGTACTGTCATAATTATTCATGATTTAGTTGGTTTATATCATTTCAAGTGTTTCATTGGGAACAAAACACTTTGTTTTCAGTTTTGCAAAGAAAATACATGCTAAGGGAAATGGAAAATTAAGAATGAAAAAGGTGAGAGAAGAAATGGTGTTCCGTATCCGGATAAAAAAAATGAATTAAGTATATATAAACAGGTATACAGGATAAAAAAAATGAATTAAGTATATATAAACAGGTATACAGTATTTTTGAACGACTTAAATTTTTGAGTCAGAAGCTAAATGTTTAAAATATAACAATTAAGATGGTTAAAACCTTTTAAAGCAAGAATTCACTTGTTTTAAAAAATAAGAAGAATATAGAGAATAGCTCTCCTACCCTTTGGTTCCAAATGCTGTCACCTAATTCTCTCCCTTTCTTCCCCTCTTTCAAGCAAACACACCAGAAGCTATCCCTTCTTATCCTCTTCAATTTCCTCAATCCAAACAATTCGTGAGCTAATTCTATATATTTTAGGTAGATCAAGGAGATTATTTTGCATGAAATTTTAGTACAACAAGATTACTGGTACAAGTCAAATAGTAAGGGGCTATTGGCAATTTACCCAAATTAATTCTAAGAGAAAAACAAATGATCCGGGAATTGAAATGAACAGATCCATTTCTTTTAGGGTTTTTCACACTACAGTTAAGACATGCTAAGCAGGCTTAGTAAACAAGTGCATCTACCACAACCACAAGAAGAAAATGACACCTCTGAATCTACAAAGAGTAAAGTCCTGTAGTCTTATTTTACAACCTCCATAACCACAAATTCAAGATAGCAACAATTTTCAAACTAATGGAACAAGAAAGTTGAAGTATCTAATTAAATAGTCCAAGTTACTGGCAAAAATTAATGAAAGGAAAAAATGAATATGTAGAAAATTTTGTTGAGAGCTTCACTTTTGTTTGAATTACTTTTGCCAGAGGGGAAAGTTAAACATTTGCCATCCTCCGAAGAGATTCCACCATAGAATGAAAATGAAGAGAGCTCTAATAAGTAAAAATGATGGAAATGAAAGCTCAACTAGACACCAAACATTAAATCAATGATCTTGGACGCCATGGATTTCGCGGGGGTGGCAATGGTCCCAGCTGACTCCCGGGTACCATTACTGCCATTTTGAAGATAACAGGGGTACCTCAATGGCTTTGACTCGAGGATTTTACTACATGGTGCAGGGGGCAAAGTCACGAATCCTTGATTATTAAGCCTTCCATTCAGAGCTTGGTGTTGAATTGGATCCACTGCCTTCACTCCAATGATGACAACTCCATTTATTTGCATTCCGTTCTTGTTGAGAGCTTTGTGAGCATCATATCGATTCTGCACCAGCAAAGAAGTTTACTCATAAGCAACAGCCACAATTGTTAGGGAAAGGGCAGATCAACTGTGGCAAATTCAAAAGCAAGTTCTTGACAACTCCGGAAGGAACAAGCAAAGTATGTGGGTATGGGCAATGTAAGATTTCTACATTGTGGTTATAATGAAAACCCTCAATATGTCAATCCATTAATAACAAATTCAATCCATAGCCAACATGTTTAAACATGTTAATTATACAAGTTATTATTAATAAAAGACCAAAGGAACATAAAACCTGATAAAATACATAATATAAGAAAATTATACATTTTTTATAATAATAAAATTATATAATCTGACTCAGAAACAAAAAAAAATCATACTACTAAAATTATATAACCTGACTGAGAAACACCAACCTAATGTCAATTCTTGCAACTAAATGGGTCCAAAGCCCCAACCCAATAAACATAATAATGGACAAGGACTGGGTTAACAATTTCTATTTCTAGCACTGTTTGAACACATAAAACACAAGATGTCGTCAAAATCTACAGACTCTTTGCAACCAACCAACAAAGAGTGAACCGAGCCGGTTTAGAAAATCAAAGAGCATAACTCGTACATTTTACGCTAAAAACAATATATATTTCCAAGTAAGTTGAACACCCTGACAAATCAGAAGTGCTAATTGTATAAAAACTATTAAGATATGCTTGCTGGAGTTTTTTTGTTTCTGGGAAGACCTATTCCAAACAAGCAAAAAAACTCTTCCAACATCCATGACATAACCCAAGCAACCCAATCATGCGCCACAAGTCCTGAGAAATCTCACAACAAAGTAGGTGATGAATTGGTGTTTTCCTCTGCCTTCTTGCACATGCAGTACCAATCGAAAGCAGGTTCCCTCTCCATCCTATATTATCCATTGGTAAACAAAAGGCAACTTGGAAGGCACTTTTACATTTGATATATCCTTCAACTGAAAGCAAAGACTGATTCCTCCACATAGCACTCTATAATAAGATAAGATCTAACCCCCAATAGATCATTAGAGGCCCTATTCCATCTCATAGCATCCACACTCACCCCAACCAGGGTTCCCATAGGGAAACTCAAAAAAGCATTTAACGGCTCCATTTACCAGACCTGAAGCACTGTGAAAACAATAAGGCTCCCAGACAATACCTGTCTGAATTTACCACCTTGATTTTTTTATTCCAAATCCGCATATATTTATAGGGGCAACTTGTAAAAATTTTATTCGCAAAATATGGAAATATCAGAAACCCATGGAGTAATGATATGAAGAATACCACTAGGAGACATTTCTCTAAAGAGGTTAAACTCCTTGTCAACTCAAAACTACGACCTTAATACCATTTTCAAAGATAAGAAGGGTGCCCTGTTCAACTTGCTGTTCATTTGGTTCCCCACAATACCTTTTCTAACTAAATCAACATGACTATTTTTCACATCTATCAAATTGATTTTTGATTTTTTTTTTTTTTCCGTATATTTCCAAATAATGAAGATGAAAGCTTGCTGGATTTTTTCGTTCCCAAGAAGACTCTTCTGTTAGTTATGTTAACACAATAATTCTTCACATCTTTATGCCACCTTAATAGTTTTTATTTCCAATTAATAAAGATTTCTTTTAAGCAATGAAGATGACTTCCATGACTTTTAGTTGACAAAAAGGGGGAAATACCATAGACCGAGAGAGAGAATATATAATGGACAAGGATAAAGAGATATGAATGTTGAACAAAAGAAACCTAACATGAGCAGTTCCAACTTGACATTATGGGAGAGCAAAATAACCTGAAACAGGATGTGCATCCAATTAGCATCTCTTAGACCTGGAACATGTTTCAAAATCACACCACATTTTTCAAACTCCTGCAAAACTAAATTGGTATCTCCTGGAGAAAATCTGCAAATGAAGATTGGATCACCGCGTTATATGTCTAGAACATATATAAATGACTGAAACTAGTGATAGCTGCTATTATAAAATAAACATTGCAATAGACACGGCATAAATAGTGCAAGCACAGAGATAAGTACAGAGGATCATAAAAGCTCTAATTTTCTTACATTTGTGCCTCAAAAAGTGTGAAAACACTAGCAAGGCATGTGCCTTAAACCAAGAAGAACAATTTAACTGTTAAATACACATATAAATGAGATTTAAGGGATGCTTATATACAACTGCATTCCAATAATATCCATGTCATTCTGTCTATATCCTTCCATCAGAGGGGTATATTATATTCAGTCTTTTCGTCTTTGAATTTTTTCAACTCATTCAATCCTTATTCTCCTAAACTTACAGAAAAAGTATCTCTTTTTTTGTACATTTATTTGAGGGGAAAAGGCAATAAAACAAAATTAATAAATAAATTCAAATATAAGCATCAGATTGCAAACTACGAATAGTAAGTTATTCTTTTTCCTCCCCTGTAAGTTGCTCGTATCAAGGTCATTCCTTTTGTTTCCCATTGATCTGTGATTGTGAGCCTCACAATTTGTTTCTGATGGCCCTCATACTTTTTTGTAAATTGTTTTTCCTCTGCCAAGAACAAACTTCAAGAACTCTCTTTGCAGTGAATGCAAACCTAATCAATCGCCAAGCAAGTAGCACAACATAGACTCTCTAATATTTCTGATTGCACAACTGTTTTATAGCAATATTTATAGAGTTCCACATTCTCTATCTTAATTCAATTTTAAGGAGTAGTGTCTATCAGATACTGGCAATTTCTTTTGCATATAACAAGGAATAGAAAATTGTTTCTGGCATCATACACAACATGAAAACTGACACTGTTATAACAAGACTGCAGAAAGTTTGGCATACCAGGCTCACTTTTGAGAGACAAATTTAAAAAATACCATGTTATTGGTGTGAGAAATAGGCAAATCATGCATTGATAAAACAAGTATGTGTCTTGCACTCAAAATTTCCATAATGAGGGTAAATTTCCCAAAGGTTGTCACATTAACAATTTGCATGCGATACTAACAGACCAAAGGCAATTTACAATAGTAACTAGAAATAGAGAAAATTAAACAATACCCATAAACAGTAACCCATTCTTCCTCATCAAGATCACCAACAGGTAAGGTATTCCTGTGCATCTCTGGCCTCGCAACTTCCTCCGGGGGTGGAAGTGTAAGTAAAGCTCCAGACTGAACCACTCCCTCGACCGGGGAACACTGCATCTTATCATCTTGCTCACTGCTACCACCATTCTTCATAGGTGACCACCAACTCAAACTCGCCACCGAACCCTGTTGATTCTGCTTCCGCCTACCCATTACAGCATATGAAGTTCTCGCTCCATACTTGCTTTTTGGAGTTGAAAACACGCGGCCCGAGCTCTGGACCGGGGTTCTTGGGTCCGAATTGATTTCCCGGTAGTCTGGAATTCCAGATTCTGGGGAGAAATCAGAGCGGTCTTGGAGGGTGAAAATTGGTGGTGGTGGAAGATGGGAATTAGGGAAATTCTCACTCCATACAGCTGAAACAGCCTCAGCCTGACCTGGGGTAGTGGATTTTGGTCCGCCTCTACGAGCAGAAACAGGTGTCGCCAAATCATGAAAGAAAACTGAGTTTCTTCCAGATATGGGAGTTCTTTGGACAATGGGGCTCATTTTTCTTTATTGTGTCTACAAATCAAGCAGTGAAATAATTGAGAGAAAGAGAGAAAGAGAGAGAGAGGCCTGTATTTGATGATTGAGCTGCAGAGATCGATTAAGGTTTTGAATTTTGAAGGGTTTTTGTTTTGAATTTTGGAGGGCTTTCGGCCTTGGGGGAATATATTAGGTTTGTTTCGTCACAAGCTGGATTGGAAAGGTCTTGAGCTCACGAGAGCGGCTCGTCAGCTTCACTTGCATTTTAGGTTTAACTTCGCTGATACCCTTTTAAGTTTGGTCAAATACCACACCCTAAAATACCTTTAAAAAATTTTTATCACATACATTCAATTATACTTTTCAGTCACTAATAACACTAAAAGCATTCGAAAAGATAATTTTAACTCTAATTTTTTTAATTCATTTTAATCCAAAACATCAACAAACTTAAAAAAACAAAAGGGTAAAGTACACTGACACCCCCTGAAGTTTGGGATAAGGACAGCCAGATGAAACTTAGCCTATTTTGGGACAAAGACACCCCCTCAAATTTGATATAATAACCAAAGACACCCCAATGGTAATGAGTTGACATTTCTGTCCTTTGACTTTTATATTGACCATGAAATGACAATTCTATCCTCAGATACCCGTTCTAATTTCTCTCTCTCTCCTCTGTTCTCTCTTCCGCCGCCCCAACACCAACGCACACACATACATATATACACAGACACATACACACATATATATGTATATACAAATACATATATATATATACACACACATATATGTATGTATAGACAGGTGGCGATGGTGAATGGATGCGGGCCTTTATCCTTCGATTCCATCGGTGAGCTTACCTAACGCCGGAGTACGCAAGTCATGAGTTGGGCTTAATGGCAGCAGTGGCAATAGTTGTTCGACGAGGGCGACGGTGAGTGCTCTCGCTTGGTTGATTCTCTCTGTCAGGTCTTGATATATCCCACGGCAGCGCACAAAATTGGAGCCATCAGTCTGACGAAGCTTCAAACTACAAGACCCGATTCTGTCCAGCGAGCCCCAAATCCGGTGAAGCCTAGTTCAGATCGACGAACCCAAGCACGAACAGTTCCCGCGACCCAGAAGAAGAGAATGAGGTTTCAACAGATTGAGAGGGATCGCAGAGAACTGGGTGGTTGCGCCGCCTTGCGTAATCGGAGGGTATGCTGAGAAGGGTACGCAGATCTGACTCTACTTTCTGGATGATTGAGAGGAACTCTTTCCCTCTGTGGCTCATTTCCATCACGCTCATTCTGGTTCCACGCCAATTTTAGAGCTCAGATTTGGCCATCTTGGGCACGTTTTCAGGTAGAGTGGCTGGACTGGCGGCGAAATTGAAGACCCGATCTTGGGATTGGGAGGTGGAGGTTGGGCGATCTTGGACTTGGGTTGTTGAATAGGTGATCGATATGGGTTTGTTGAGGCACGAAGATAGGTTGAGGGGGAAGCCATTGAAGTGGGTGGTGGTGATTGTGTTGGGGCTTTTGAGAAGGTGAAGGTTAGGGTTTTTCAGGAAGAGAGGATGAGGTGAAGTTGTTGACGTTGCCACGGTGTTTTTGAAGTTGTTCACATTGCCATGGTGATAGACCAAAAGGTTGATCCTTCCCTTCCATTGGAGAGCTTGAAGGCACGGTGGTTTGGGGGTGGGTGTTGGTGGTTGTGGAGTTTTGGTGTGGTTGCTGCAGAATCCGGTTGTAGGATTGATGGGGTGTTGAGGGTAATTTGGGAATTTAATTATTTTAATATTTTATAATTAAAATTAATAAAATAGTGAAGGGTAATGTTGACTTTTCATATGTTTTAAGGCTCTGTTTGGCTTGTAAATATTATGAGGGGGTGTCATTGTCCCAAAACAGAGCAAGTTTAATCTGGCTGTCCTTTTGACAAACCTCAGGGAGTGTTAGTGTACTTTACCCAAAACAAAATTACCCTCATTTATTTATTTCTCCACTCTTATCTTCTTTCATCTCCTAACCTTCTGCAGACCCACTTTTCCTTCCAAGGTCTCAGACACCTCAAGAGACCCACTGATCACTCACCTCTCTTCTCCACAACCCATGTGTATATATATATATGTATATATATATATGTATATGTATAGCTTATACACACAATAAATGACTGGTGATTTTGTGGTTGTCCAGTGTCCACTCCCTTATGTGACCCACTGACCCAATATTTCTATTACGGAGAAGGCAAAAATTAATTTTGAATTGTGAAATGATACTATGGATCTCCTCAGTTTTTTTTTTTTTTTTTTTTTTTTTTTTTAAACAAACTTGTAAAGGCCCATTCTCTTAATAACTATGCATACAACATAAAATGTAGGGTTAATTTCACTCACATTCTTTTAGATTTGGCCAAATATCATAGGCCTTGCTATTAAGAGAATGGAAATTTGCAAGATTCTTTTTTTTTAGTGAATGAGAAATGCAGAGGTTCTTATCCCATGTTCAATTCAGTTAAAAGGATGTTGAACAGGTCAAATTAGGCCTTTGTGTAAATTGGATTTTTCTTATTTACATTCTTTAGAGAGTGAATGTCTTGATCTCAACTTTGTTCCTCTTCTTCTTCGCTCTTTCATAATTGCTCATCAAATATTGCAACTACGATATATAATTGTATTAATTGCAGAATGAATGAATTATATATAAAATCCTGTTACATTGAATTGATAAAATCCCAGGATGCATAAAAAGAAAAAAGAAGCAGCAAGGAAAGAAGTGCACATTTTATTAGACACATGCAAGTCCAAAGCCTAGAAGACAGCAGTGTATAATAATTACAATATATATGCCAACAGAGAGAGGGTCTTCCATAATTGTGATCCTTGATCAACTCTTTAACCAGCTTAATTAATTAATACAGATCAACTAATACATAACATTCAATAAATATAAACCAATCACTTCAAAACCTCTGGTTTTACAAGATGGATCAATTTACCACCAATCTCAACTTCAGTGGGAAGTTTCAAAAAGGAGCCGAAAGTGGCTCCTTAAGTACTTCAGCTTGATCCGGGGATTCGACGATATCAGAAGCACGTAAGCATTGGCAAGATGTTTCTGAGATGCCAGCTGCAGCAGCCTTCTCCTTGCAACCAATAATGTCAAGCATTGAATCTCCCTTTTGATTTTGAGCCATTTCTGTCATCTCCTTGACGGTAACAACTGGTCTAAGTCCCTGTAGGGAAACCATTTAATTAGCACCTCTTAATTTGCACTAAATTATCAAGCATAGATATGAAATGCATAGATATGTAATCCACTGCGTGTGTGTGTGTGTGACTCTGTGTAGTAGAAGCAAACCTCAATGAAGATACCCGATGCTTCATTGTGCTCCTTCTTTTGCACAATGTCTTCCGCTACTTCCTGATCAATGAAAAAAAAAACTACAAAAATCACTAAAAAGTAGATAATATATATAACTTTTGAATCCGTAATCCACTTAAAGGTTCGATAATTGGTTTAGTTCTCATTCATCACAAAACTGAACCAAACCGAACTGTGTGCACCCCTAGTTTTGATGCTATAAGAAGAGCGAGAAGATTTTACTCTGGCAAGGGTGATTTGCCCTTCATTCAATGTCCTGGGCTCCATTTCAATGGAGCAGCAAAAACTGGCCATGGATGAAACGCAAGTCGAAAACTCTCATGCAAACAGATTGGGTTGCAGCCCATTACCACAAACAATGTCACTTTCATTTCTTCCTGTGTATGCCTGCCTATATATAGCCATTGAGATGGATATTTTGGGTTAAATTTCACGGGCTAGCTTTTGACTTAAATTGTAGTGAAATAAGAGGTTAGGAAACAAAGAGAGACTCTCATTTCATTCACATCCCGTGACTTTTCATGTTTACAAACTTCCTCTTCACATCTTTCTCTCACCCTTTTTATCATTTACACTACTTCACGGGGATTATACCTTCCTTATTCAATTGGTTAGCAGAGGTGGGCCATTGAAGTCGACTATCAAATTGTGCTTACAATATCAGGACTCTTATGGTCCACTGTTTTTTTATAACCACGACAAAAAAATACTATACTACAACTTTGTACTAGCAAAGGTTGCAAGATTGGAGAAATTATTAAATATTTTGGGAGTTCCATGTCATCCTTTCGGATAAAAATTGTTAAGTTTAGGAATACGGATCCTCTCATACAAAGGAGAGGTCCGACAATTTATCTAACAAATGAGACATTGACATGTTACAATCAAATGAGACATTAACGTATTATAATCCAGCGTGACATTTTTCACTTGTGTTCGTAAACTGAAACATTTCATCCATCAATGAATATTTGAATTTTTTTTTTTTAATTTTTTTTTATAGAGCAGAGGATCCCAGACCTATCTTTATGTGATTGGACAGATATACCACATCAGCATTATGGCGTGGTACCCAATAATTCTCTTGGGCCTCCTCTTAGGCTAAGGCAATTAAGGCTACACTGGTTGCACTCAGCCCTGGACCAAAAGATCAGATGGGCATTCAGGATGCTAAGAGGTCCATATATATGCCCTGATCAAGCTTACATTTTTTGTCACACCAAAATATAGAAAATTTCTTTCAGTATAAAGCTTTTGGGAGGGCACATTTGTTTAACTAATGTGAACTATGGAGTGGTCCAAGAACATCCTGCCTACTCGCGCCGAACGCTTGACATAAGCCCGAATCAAGGACTAAGCCCGAATCAAGGACTGTGTTTGTCTCTGATATCAACTGTAACCGATGAATATTTGTCCATTTACTTAAAATCTCAAGTTGTTGGGTAGTACTGTATATTCACCCATTTATAACTAATCATTTTTCCATCTGAATTTGACGTGGGACAAATGACCCTTATTACAATATGCCACCGGGGCTTTGATATGAATTAATACGCCACGTGGTTATATGCAAATTTAGGAGTATGCATAGGCATAGTTGTGAGTCTTGTGATTTGTTTATATATGGTACTCTCTAACATTATTTTTATAGAAATTAAAATAAATTTTTGAAATGCTAATTAAGAACCTTTTAATTTAGACTTAGGACAATGATGATCTTAAGAAACTTCTAAAATCAGAAATTCTTGTTGCTATTAGAAGTTTTAGTTTTTTTTCATACATTAGTACCTAACTATATATGTACAGTTTTCAAAATTGAAAATAAAGAAAAGAAATGGTTCGATTCTCTTATTCTTATTTCTCGAACAAAGAGATCAATGAATTAGGATTTTAATGTATATAGATACAATATTAAAATGGTGGGTTTTTATTTATTTATTTATTTTTAAATGTTCCATTCAACTCAGGTTCTCAGTTATTTCACAAAAAAAAAGGAATTAGAATAGGTGTATTAGGAGGTGTTTGGTTAAGTGGATGGAGGGTGCTTCTCAGCTTAAGTTGGGGGTGGCATGGGGTTCCTATCTAGTGGAACCCTATTGGGTCAAATGATAAAGACAATGTTGAAGACAACCTTTGCCATAAAATGTCAAACTATGTATCACTTTTATATAATTAAGAAAATATATATATTTTTTCTTCTGCATAACTTCTGCCTTAATTGATTGATGGGTGGGTTATATAAGTATGAATTAAATAACATCGATGGGCTGATTGAAGTCCAATAATTAATATATACGGATCCATATCATAATAGGTCTAATTAGTTACATATTTCACAATGGTTGGAGCCATATCACTACATGAAAGAAGAGTACTACCGCCCAACTTCTCTATTTGGCCAAGCAATTGCTTGGCTTCAACCATCACCTACTGATGGTGACCCACCCACCTCCAAATGGGCTTGTCCAGATTCACACACACACACACACAAAACCTCCAATTCAAATTAAAAGTCCAATAGAAAAAGGAAAAAAAAACACTAGCTGTTCTGAGGCAAGAGCTAGTAGGAATGGACTAAATTTAATTACAATATGATTATTTTTACAAAATGATTGTTCTTAGGTTCTTTTCAAATTCAAAGATTGAATTTAGTTAATTAATTACTGTATTGTTTCATATATATATATATATATATATATATATATATATGTTAGATTAAGGAGTCAGATTACCTAATTTTTAAAAGACATATGCCCCCAGAGTCATTTGTCAGTAAAGGGTGGGGGAGGAGACAAGAACAATTGCATTTTCTTACCAAATGGTAACATGGAAAGATCCCTAGACATGGACACCAAGACATGCCGGAGGTCGGATATATTATCCAACAAAAATATATATAAATATATATATATAGTCATGAACGTCACGTAGTGCATGTGCCATTCTTCATCCACCACATGCATGTCTAACCCTCATCACTTCACATATATATATAAACACACACACACACACACATCACTCATCACTCCACCCCCAAGTGTACGTGTGTATATATATATACATATATATAATGATACACTGACATTTCTAGTGTACATACGTTGTACGTCCAAGTACCTTTATACATACACTGATTATATATGTATACAAATATATATATATATATATATATATATATATATATTGTGTCTTCTTGGTGTTTTAGAAAATTGTATATATGTGTAGGCCGATATACACTGATATACATGGGGGCTAGGCCATGCAGCCTATTTATATGCAGAGGCATCCAATTGATCGGTCAACAATCTTTAGCTCCCAATAATTGTCAATTTGATCTGCTGAACTGTGTTACAAAGATCTTTTTAAAAAAATTATCTAGTTTTTTTTTTTTTTTTTTGACAGGATTAGTGACATATATAGAGTTGATAACCTGAGTTTATTACATGACTTTATATAGGCTTTTTTATTACTCTTTTTGATATAATCACTTCAATCTAAAAAATGTGTATGTGGAACACTTTCTCATATACATAATATATCAAATTTCATTTTTACTTTAGAAAATAAAAAGAAGAAGTTGAAAATATATTAATAATTATTTATCCTAATGGATTATAGAAGGGAAGTGTGTCAAACTTTATTCACGTACTGAAAAAAAAAAATGAAAAAAGGAAAGAAAGAAGAAGAAGAACTGTCTCTATTTTTGTTTTTTGTTTTTTTTTTTTTTTTAAAGTTCGATTTGCATATAATATTGTATATGTCTTGTATATTTGACAATAATGATTATATTGCTAAACTCGATTCAGAACTATTAAGCTGATGGAGTACTAATATTACTGTATATACAAATGTGTGGTGTGTTGAATATTAATTAATATTCATTTATTATTTAAAAATGTAAGTGGAGCCCATGGCAGAGGAAATGTCTAGGATCAGGTGGACAGTTATATCTCCCCCGATGTTGCCTCATTTTATTTTAATCTTTCAATTCCATCTCCTTAATTAATTCCTGACCCAACTCATTTTTCTCTTTCTCGATCTCTTACCACATTCATTCTACCCACACTTCCACGCTGCTACTACTACGTAGGAAACACGATGTTCATTGTTTTCTCAACAGCCAAACAGGTCATACTTAAATCATTCAAATTCACTCTCAAATTTATTATTATTATTATTATTATTTTTTTTTCAAAAGAGTTCGAGTTTTTAATGAAGAAAAATCGTAGTTATATAGATTTGTAACTCTAAAAATAATTTTTTGTTATCAGAAAATTGGTACAAAAACAAGACCTATTTTCAAATAACTATCATTTATTATTCTCTGAAAAATGTTTTCTATTCTCTAAATTTTTTAGAATTGTTTTCAGAGTTACAAGTCAAACAAACTCATAATTTTCTTTAGTTTCATTACAAATTCATGACTTGTGACTTCCATTAGCATTAATGATCTTTGTTAAGAAAAAGAAGTGTTAAACTTCTTGTTAAAATGATTGTTTCTATGATTTTTAACATATATGTATGGAGATTAATCACTGTCAATGACTAATATGATGCCTTAATCTTGATTAAGATGTTAGTTTATAACCATTGGCCAAAGTGATGTTCCTTGCTTCTCTTGATGGTTAGATATTTAGGGTCCAATGGTCCTTCGTAAACAAACTACTCACAAAATAGACTAAATAGACTATGGAACTCGTTAGGTAAGCAAGAACTAGAATAAATCTTCTTTTAGTCGGTATTATATTTTTCAAGACAACTTTAAATAAAATAAAATAAAATAGAGTACTTTTTTCCAACGGTCACATGCCGTGATTACACAACAAAAGAAAATCGGATTATTTTTTTCTTTTTATTATTATAAAATAATGAATGCTGATTTATTGAAATATTAAATGATAGGTACTTTGCAATGGGAATGTCCTAAAAGAGACTCGGGCTGTGAATAGTGAATGCCCTATACAACTCATCTCTCACTTGTATTCTACAAGGCCATTTTACGGGTCGGGGCCTCTTCTGTCCTGGGCTTTGGCCTTATTCCTTTCCCTTGTATACTTTAAAATGGTATGTAACAATGAAGGGAATTTTTTTTTCTTTTCTTTTAAAATATTTTCAAATGTTTAAATCAATAATGAACCCATCAATTGCAATACAGTAATACTATTAGGAGCTTTTATCATTTTTTTAACATTCAATTATACCAGTCTCATGATTTTATTGTAATAAAATGAATTATTAAATTTATGTTAGTGAGTTCACAGATGTGATTGTTTATTTTTTATAAATTTAGAAATTAAATTGATAATATTATAAAATAAATAGTACTTTAACTTTTTAAATGAAATATTTATTTTGAAATATTTAAAAAGAGAAAGGTATTATACATATATGAAGGTGAGGATAGGGACCAAAAAAAAAAAAATTGAAAATAATAATATTTTAAGTTCCATAAAAGAAAATATCTCCGAAAATTGATATAGCAGAGACAATGGTTTTGGTTGAACCCATGAGCTATCCATGTGCACATGTCAACCTTTTGACATAATATGGGCACATAACTCCTCTGTGGCCCATGGTTTTCGCATTACTTCTCTCACGTCTTTGCTCCATCACCAAGCAAAGCAACTCAACATTTTCAGAAATAATAAAAAAATAAAAATTTAATTCTCAACTTATCAAAGATAGGACCCCAATAAAAAAACAAAATTACAAAGTCTACAGTGAAATGACCACTTCGTCCATCCCCACCTTTTTGCCTTCCTATTTCTAGATTTTTTTTTTTTCTTCTGAAAATTCAAATATCTAAAACATGTGAATTAGAAAAATAACAGTAAAAAAAAGAGATACCAAAAGCTAACGTTCTGCTATTACTACCGCACATGCTAGATCATCTGCCTGACATCAGGGCCGTTGGAATGATGAATCAAGTAATCATCACCGTTCGATGCTCCGAAAATCGTGTTTTGACTTAGAAAGTGTTGCGGCTGGGACCTATGGATGTCATTTTGCCTCCGAAGCTCAAGAACTTTCCGGTGAGAGTTCGAGTGCTTTGTCGACATAAAGGTCGGGCTTGCGGCAGGTCGGTATTCGGGCACCAACCGACCCGACTTGTATCGGACCCCACAGGCGTTACAGAGTGTTTTTGGACCCAAAGGCCCAGTCCGCCACTGCGGGGTCTTCTCGGAGGCGCAGTGGAGGCACTTCCGGCCCACAGTCTCTGAACCCTCTCTCTTCTTCAACGTCATCGTTTTAGGCGTTTTGTTGTTTGTATCTGAAGACGACGTCGTAGGACAGAGAACAAGGAGCCGGGACGTCCAGTCGCACGGGGCGGCGCGTGAGCGCCTGCTTCGGGCTTTTCCGGGGACTGAGACGTCCGGTCGAAGCACTGGCGGGTTGTTTCGGTCACCGGCGGTTGTTTCGGTGCCAAAACTGTGGGTTGTTTCGGAATTTGAGGCGTCGGTGGAAGCTTTGGCTCCGGAGATGAGTTGGAGATTCTGCAAATCGTCGCTTGAGAACGATTCTTCAGTGATATTCGAGAGCCATTCGAGCTCAGCCAAATCATCGTACTGTAAAGAAACAACAGAGCAAAACAAAATTGGTTAAACAACTAGCTACATTTTTTCTTGAAATTGACATTGTTTTTGAAACAAATTAAAAGCAGGAATTACCGGGACGCATAGTTCGCTGGAGAATTGAGCGTCGGTGAAACTCCGGCAGCTAATGTTGCCGGAAACAGATGAATTGCAGCTATCAATGGCGGTTAATGTGGAAGAATCAGTTGAATTTCCGGTGAAAGTGTCGAAGAAAGCGTCGGTCATGGTTTCGTCTTCTTTGGAGAAGTCGAGAAGGTCCTCGACGGTGAAGTGGTTGTTTTCGGCGGTCGGTTTGTGATCGGAATAGTGATTTGCGGACGAGAATTGGTTGCCAAAAAAACTGCCGACGAAGAAGTCTGGAGCTTCCATTGTTGTGTGTGTTGGTTTGAGGGCAGGGGGCAAACAGAAGAGAGACGCAAAAGCAACGGTTTTCGTAGGAGTTTTAGAGAGAGAAAAAGGTGGAGAGAGAAAAGAGGCGTTGGATTGCGTTTGAAGATGACAGGCGGACAGAAGAGCTGAAAGTGGAGTGGTGTGGGTGATGAGTGAAAAAGGAGGAGGGGCCAATTTATAATTTGAGGAAATTGAAGCATCTTTATTACCTGATGAGAGCAAAATATTAAATAATGGCAAGTCACTTGCTACTTCTGTAAAGCTGTTTCAGCTGCTCAAATTACGTTATTGCACTTCTGTTTTTTCTTTATCTCCTATAACTCTTTATTTTTATGCAAACTAAGGGGCACGGATAAACATACCAATCGGACTGGAAAAAAAAAAAAAAAAAAAAAAAAAAAACCTATAGGACATGAGTACGGTATCATACAAACATGATAATTTCATAAATTTTATTTTATCTTTTAAATTGATAATAATTTTTTTGATTTTTTCTACATTATCATATATGTGATCGTGAATTTATATAAATGCTATTTCTCTTTCCAATATATTTAATTAATTCATAATATATATTAAAACTACAATGAAAATCTATTTTTTTTAATAATATATAACTAAAAATAAAAAATACTTCTAGTTGTGTCTAATAAATTTTCAATCAAGTCATATAAAAATATATATATTTATATATGTATCAAATTTCAAGACATTTATAATGTCAAAGAGAGCAATAATACTCCTCAAAGAATGTTCATACGCTTTATATTACAAATGAACGGAATTGCTTATTAGTAATTTGGATGTAATTTATTAAAGATTCTGCTTATATTTATTAATTAACTAAATTATATTAACTTATTGAACAGTGATAGAGAAATCAAAATTTTCTATTCGAAAAAAACACCAAACTTGTCATGTCAGGCTCATTACGCGTGAAATAATTCCTTACCATCTATTTTTCTTTCTCTCCCCACTTTTCCTTTCTCTCTCCTCTATTTGTTTCATAAATTCTTCTCACCTTTTTTTTCTCTCTCAAAATTTGGTAGTCATGCACAAGAATTTCCATTACAAGAGACATTTATTTTCTTACAAAATAAAATATACTTGAAAAGAAAACCAATTTGTTTATTTTAAAAATAAAAAATTTAACTAGAAAAGAGAAATGGATGAATCTTTTTAAGTTTTTCTTTAATTTATATGGATACAAAATCCGAAAAAAGAAACAACAGTTACGAACAAATACCAGCCCAACTCAAATGACTTATTTCTTTTTCCATTTCCTACACGACTGTATCTTTTGTTTTCTCCTTTTACAAGGAAATCAATCACATCCAAACTCCTCCCTATCCCTAAGAATCCGATGTTATCCCCGTGTGAAGAGCCCTATCCAGGCAGGCAAATTTTTTTCCATTATTTTTTTTTATTTATTTTTTTGGTGTATGTTGTTTTGGAAGAAATTTTAATGGTTATTTTTTTACCTTCAATTTTGAGAAATTAAAACGTAATAGAACTAGAATTGAAAGAGGGAAGAGCAAGAAAAGAAGAAAGAAAAATGAAGAGTAACAGAAGAGAGACAAACAAAGAGATAACAACATCTCATGTGCGGTACGATAAGTTGATTTGGCCTATGATTTGGATGTTTGGTTCGGTTCCATATCATTTTCCTAACTTATTTGCTAAACAACTAAATTGGAAGAATGGTACACTAATCTCAATTTTTACTTAGACAATTATCTGATTAAAACATTTGTTATTTTAAAAAATTATTATATCAATTCATCTATAAAAATATAAAAATATTAGAAAATAAATATAGTTTTATCTATTTATTTTTTTAAAAAATCAAATATAAGAAAGTAAATTTAAATATAAAAATTAAACATTATGTTTCAAAATTTATTAGTCTAGTGGACTTTATGGATCGGAACTAGCTGGCATAAACAAAATTGCATGGTACATACAATATATCAGCATAAGTGGGCTTAACTAGAATAAGTATATTAAACTAACAATTACTAAGCATATTATTGAGGGTGGATAAGTAAATTAACTACAAACTAACAATTAATTAGTATATAATTGAGCAATTAATGTAAGTAAACTAGTTGAAAACCAAGAGATAAGTAATGGTTAGAAAATTTTCAGCCCTAAAGAATCGATCATAAGGAGGCTTTGTCGCCGTGACGCTTCCATTAATGTCCAAGTTTACAGCCGGATTCCGCTACACACACTCTCTTTTTCTCTCTTAAACTTTCTCTCTCTAATTATTTATCCATAGGGACTCGTGCTTTTTGTAATTTAAATTTGTTACTCTGATTTTCTGAAATATTTAAATAGAATTATTTGTACTTTCTACCCCCTCTTATCATTCCTGTTCTCATATTCCATAAACCACGTTTAAGCACGACGATTACAGCTTGGCTTAACCTAACCAACAGTCATGATCTAAACCACGTGTTTCCTCCTCCTCCTTATCTGCTTTTACCCTTTTTTTTTTTTTTTTTTTTTTTTTTTTTTTTTCAATCTTCTCATTCCCATTTAGCACAAAATCTAGTTTACCCACTTAACGCCTTGATTTTCTCCTGAGACATTTCTCTACATGCATTTAATGTGGTAAAACGGTGAAGTTTATGTGAAACATGCAATAACTTTAGGTCGGTGGATGAATAAAATATGTCAAATTTGATTCCTATCAAATTTCATCCATTGGGGATTTACAGTTCATTTATTTATAACATAAACATTTGTAATTTATTCTATAAAAATAAAAAAAAATTATATAAATGTGAATTCGCACTTGTGCACATGACATTTCATTTGAAGTTTGGTCTTAATTAATTCACTTTGATAAATAGAATAAATTAGTGGTCAGTTATCAATATCATAATTAATTAAGGATTCTTGTATTAAATGATAAAAAATGAATTAGTTTTTGTTTGGACTCTTGATAAATGGTGTTTATCCTTTTTGTTTAGTCTATTATTGGAGTTTTTTTTTTTTTTTTAAATAATAATAATAATATGTGTTGTGTTCTTAAAATGGGTGGATGTGGTCCAACCGAGCACGTGACAAAGGTGGGGTGGTACTGTCAGCAGTCATGTGAGAGGGGTTCGTTCATAGTATTAGGTTGGTTTTCAAAGGGCCAACGCAGAGGTGGTCAAATTCCAAGTATAGCTGGAAGAACTTGGAATGGGCTTTTTTTATTTTCGGTCTGTGTCCCTCAACCCACGACCCATCCTTCTTTGATGCTTCTCACACGTGCGTCAACCCCTTGCATGTCTACCTACACCACCCCCATCACCAACGTGGTTGCACGTGTAGAGCAAGTCACGTGCCTCTCCCCTTGATATGTGGCTTTGAGTGAGGTGAGGACGGCTCCAATCAATATTTCACTTCCCTCCATTTGTTTGCCCTTTCAAGGTTTGTACCTTGGACTCAGAGTACTTCATCCATACAATTTTGAAATGTTTAATGATAGTCATGCTTGTGTCTTGCGCCAATTGTGAATCGACTCGAGACCTACTTACTCAACTTAATCATGTAGTATGTGCACAACCGGAGAATCATTTTCTGATAAGCTGCTGTGAACTTCAAAACGTCAAAAAGGATGGAATGGTGACACATTTTCGATTACACAATGGGGTGTGTGGGCCTCACAGCTGTGTGGACCTCACACATCGCCATTTGGAGGTTCTCCAAATATCATTTGTGGAAAATTAATGGTGATTGGTGACATCTGATGCCACATCAGCTCTGCTGCTTCTATGCCTTGAGGATCACATGAGACATGCATCTCATGCATTGCTTTGTAACAAAATTCCAGAAACCAGGATTGGACATTAGGCAAAAACAGCTTCTCAAGGAAGTACTGCCTCGTACAAGTATTTCTTCAATTTCAACCGTTAAAGCCTGCACTTGAATTGTAATGCTTCACATGCCAAGAGATCTTATCATCTCTTTCCGTAAAGCCAGTCATGCTTTACTTGTCCAAAATCTGTACTCCAACTGGAATACAATGTTAACTGCAAGCATCATCAACACATTCCTTCATATGCTAGGACATAAGAACATAAAGTAACATTGGCCCAATAAATATTTCAAATTCTTCCATTGTACACGAAACATTAATACAATTAACAGCACAGAAACATTAACACAATAACAGCATCACACGACGACTTCATTCATTCTATTCATATCCAATAAAAAATATAACTTCATTCATCCTCTTCTTATCCTACGGATCATGATTCATAAAGAAAACAGACCGCGCTCTCTCCAAATTCCATTTAGCTTTAAGGTAGTACAGGACATAAACTTACTCTTGGATCACTATCATCAACAGTACCACCATACACAGTCGCACACATTCCGTCCATTTAACAAAAAATTTATCAAATCATTGCCCAAGGGAAAAGTTCTACAATATTACTGCATAAATATCAAAATCATGGGAGCATTTGTTAAAAAAACAAATATCTAGTAAAACACTAATAAACATTAATAAACATTCAAGCCTTGCTAAGAAACTAAAAGTTCAAATATCTGAAATAAGTTTTAATGTTAAAGGAATATTGTTTGAGAAAAGTTCTCAACTGTATTAACTCAGTGCTTGGAGAATAAGGTCCTGACTTATGTTAAAAGATAAGACTGAAAACAAGATCTAGCTTCACATAAGAGTTCATATATTTAAACTTTACGAATCCACTGTTGTCACCTGTTGCCATTCCCCATCTACTGCTTCTTTCCACAATGTTACATTGTTATTCCCATCAGCCACCGCCAGTATGTTTCCAGTGAGCGACCATGAGACCCTCCAAACAGGGGTCTCAAAATCCTTCAAAACCTTACCGTCCCATTGGTCCCCTTCCTTTGCCACGGTCCATATAATAACTTTTCCGTCCTGTGAAGCACTGGCAATTGTAGATTTAGGAAGTCCCAAGTTTGGTGCCCAAGCCACATCTCTAACCCAATCAGTATGCATTTGAAGAGCAGGGAAGCAATCCATCTTCCAAACTCCATTGTAAAGCTTCCACACTTTAACAGTATTATCACAACCACCAGATGCAAGCTTCTGAACAGGGTCCAGCATGCCAGAACCAACAAGAGCACCGGGAGCCATTGATGGGGCCCATGATACAGAAGTAACACCAACTGGATGAGCTTGGTCAATTCGTGATGTATCCCAGCCACCATCAGATCTTGCAGTGAAAACTGAGATATTCCCATCCGAGGATCCACAAGCCAAACAGAGACCCACTTCATGAGGAGCCCAAGCAATGGAATTTACAGATGATTTGTGCTCATCAAAAACATGGGCTTGGCTCCACTCATTAGGGTTACCTTCCTTCCAAATTATGACCCGCCCATCATAAGAACAGGAAGCAAGGAGGGATCCAAACTTGGGGTGAGCCCAAGTTACTTGCCATACGGGTCCTTGGTGACCACTCAAAGTTGCAAGATGCTGAGAGGCTGAATTGTTGACCCCAATTATCTTAATGGTGTTGTCAGAAGATGCCGTGGCAAGACGCTTGCCATAGTAATCCATCACCACATCATGAACTACATCTTGGTGACCACTTTCAATCTTTTGTGAAGGCATTTGTGTCACCAAGTAAATAACTATTTTCACTTGTGCTTTTACACTGAAATCAAATTGCTTCTTCCTAAATAAGCTCCCACAGACAGCCCTAATATAGCACAAAAGAGAGAAAGTTTGGCCCTTTTAGAAATTAAATTCATATGAGTAAGAAATGGTGCTATCTATCTTATCAGATATTCAAAATGCTGAATAAAATAGCATAATAATAATTAACATGTCTTTCTTACAAATAATAGACTAAAGAGCAGAGTAGTAAGTTATATTAGGGGTGCACATTGTACAATTTGTTCCGTTAAGAGGATAAACCAGAACCAAACCCGATGTTAATGGCTCCATGAAAATTGGAACAATACCGAACTGACAGAACAGCATAAACCGAGCCAAGCCAAACTGAAATCCAATATTTTACACTATGTAATCAACAGTTTGGTTTTTCCATATTGCACTCACTAGATTTATTTGGGAAATTAGCATATGCATGCTAACATTGAAAGGTACAACCATAAGTAATTAGGATCCTAACAAAGGCTAACAAAAAAATACTGATAAATAAAGAAAGAAAGAACACAGAACTGGTTTTTAAATTATCAAATGCAAAAGCAGTGGTTAACACTCTGCTGAATATAGAATTGAATCTGTTATATAAGACGGTGCATTTGGAAGTATTCACAAAGATTTACATAATTATTTGCATTTGAAGACTATATCAATATGTCAAACAATATTTTGTGTTACTGTACTGGCAAAAGCCTTCTTGAGCGCTTGCAGCGTACATCTTAAACCTTCAAAAGACAAAAATAAGGGATGAAAAATACAGAAAAAAGAAAAAGAAACACAAAAAGCTTGCAATCGCTAACAGGATAGAAAGATATGCAAAGGATAGAAAGTGAAAAAAGTTTGCTATAAGCTTTTTCAGATATCTTGTATAGTTTTGCGGAAATTTAGGGTGCTAATATTGATGACATGAAAAAGATTGAAGCATGAAGTTCCAATTTGATGAATTTTTTAGGTGATTCATGACGTGGAAAGGGTCTAGGGATTAGGGAAAACAGATTTTTGGGTTAGAAAGAGTTTATATATATGTGTGTGTGTGTGTGTTTATCAGGTAAATCCTCACACACACTGCCCATGCCGGGGTTCAAACCCCCCCCACACAAAGGGAGGTTATACCATCGGGCTATTAGCCAATTGGTAGAAAGAGTTCGTATATAACCATGAACATCTGTGTGCAAGGTCATAGAAACCTATACAAAGAACCATAAAATAAAACCCTGCATGCTTATATATAGTTTTATGGATCAGTTTGGATTGGATCAATTTTTTAACCCCCGAACCGTGAACAACCAATACTAATAGTTCAACTGTTTCTCGAATCGGGACCGAATTGTTAACCTTCAATCACAGTTTGAATAGAATCAGATTGCAACCATAAGTTAAATAAATTAGAGATGGACTTTGAGAAGTTTGAAGGGAAAAAACTAAAGAAATTGTTTGTGCATCAATAGCAAGAGTTAATAACAAACGTGCGTAGAAGTGGATTTGATTGGTTAATTAAGGAAACCAATATAGAACAATGAAGCTGGCATGAATAAAAGAGACCAGGCTTCAGATTGAACCTGATAAATTACTACAAGCAACTCAATCAAGAGAATATGAACAAATGACATCAGACTGATCATATATATATTCAATTAGTTTGTAAATGTAAGAAACTCTAATAGGAATGAATGTAATCACTAATTCGGAACTTAGAGTTGGATCAATGTTGTTTTTGTTTTCTAAAATTTTATATTACCTGTTCTATTCACCCAGTAATATGCTTTAAAATTGCATTGGAACTTCCCATTTTTAAAGCATGATTGCAAAATTACACAAGTCCTCTCCTAAGAGTGTCCCAAATGTCCTGCCATGTACCAGCTGTATTTGTGCCATGTCCAACCAATTAACAAAAAAAAAAAACTGAACTTCAGAACACTTCTAACCATGTAGGACACGTGTTTGGCTGTGCCCCCATGCGTGTCCATTTTGGTCACTGCCACCACACTTCCTAGAGGAGTGTCATGTTTCATATGCGGTAAAACAAGGATAGATTAGGGGGAAAATGGAAAAGGAAAAAGCATAAGCAAGAAATAGAGGTTATACCTAGTATGGACCAGATAAGGAAAAATTCGCTATAATAATAGGTCACGTGCAACAAAGAGGATACAAATGCCCGAGCAAGAGCAGCAATTTAATTATATGTTGGTAATACCAAAAGGACTAAAGCATGCAGAAAAAATGAGGTGAGAGAAACATGATTCCCTATAATTTCTGTGCCAAAGATAGAGTTAAACGGCACCAATAGGAGAAAATATATATATATATAACGAACAAATAGCACAAACTCAATAGTTGGGATTAAATAGATTCTCAGCTGAAAATGAATTTCGTGTATATAACTTAGGTAATAATTCTACATCACACGCATGAATTATCGGGCTATTACAGTGTGATTGGAATCATTCTTTAGTGTTGCCATGATAAACAATATATATAAGTACACACAAATTGAGCTAAAACTAGTAGAGACAATCGAAATTCAACCCAAATTAGGGTTTGGTAAACAATTCAAATGCCCAAAACTAATACATATCTACGTTAGAAACCCTAAGCAAAATACAAATCCAAAAGCAAGATATACAAGATATACACATGGATCGCATCAGATAAAATTCAAAATACAAATCCAAAAGCAATACCAACAATAAGAAACCGATCAAACGTATAAAACCAAATTCACGAGTGTCATATAGAGATTTTGAGAGAGAAATTTTTAAGAGAGAGATATATAGACGATGATTTGTCGAACCTGATGTGAACAAGAGCCCGAAGAGATTTGCGGAAACGCCTTGAAACCAAGCCAAAACTAGTAGTTGAAAAACAAAACGAAGACGCAACAAGTAGCCAAACGACTGCGTCCTTGGCAAGGACTAAATACTAAATATGGATAATTAAGTTGCAGGGTGATTGGGCATTTATTATGTGCCTAAATTTATAGGCCCGTGTAGTTTTTGGACCTACGAAGTCTGCCTCCAAGGTAATACGTTTTATTATTATTTTTTTATTTTTTATTTTTTTCCTGTAATTTTTATTTTTTAATGTTCATGTGCATCATTGTGGGTGGTCTCGATTCTTTTGCCGTCCTAAGTTCCTAACCCACATATACACTCATAACAAAAAATATTATAACAATTTAAAAGTATTAAAAAAAAATGAAAGAAAAATAAAACTAAATTAATAAATCGGAGTGTGTTAGGCTTTTGGCATGTAAATTTTCGTAGGGTATTGCATATTTTTTCAAAGAAAAATAAAAAAAAGAGAGTTATAGGTATAATTACATTATTTACATGCTACAGTTGGATGTATTACTTATAAACCATTTTCTTTCTTTTCTTTTTCAACAAAAAGAGACCACATATATGATGCTAGCTAGCATTAATGCTAGTGGTCCGTGCTGCATGTTATGTATTTTGCACGAAAAGAATTACTATATACTAATATATATATAGAATTATTTGTATTTTCTATCATCAGAATATTGTGCCAGTAGACAGTAGAGGTGGATTTGCTACTGTTACAAGCCCAGCCCAATGGATAGAAAATTAGCAGAAAATTGGTATTGACTAAGTATTACAAGAGGAGTCTTGTCCCACATCCGGGTGGGTATGCAGCACTACCCAATAACTTGAGTTTTTAGATAAATGGGCAAGTATCCACCCGTTACAGTTAGTATCAGAGGCAGACTCAGTCCTTGATTCAATGTCAGGTTAAGCACTGAACCTGGAGGGCGTCTAGGTCTTCACTCTGGATAGACAGGGTGGTCCGACCGCAACGAAGGTATTGCGTGGGTTCGGGTGGGGAAGAATATTACATGGGAAGACTTATCACATATCGGATCCGGACAGGAAGTGACATGTGTATAGATGGATAGATATGCAACACTACTCAATAGTTTGAATTTTTTAATAAATGAGAAAACATCCACCCATTACACTAGGGTATTAGAAGTTTGAAAACCAGGCCCAATACATCTAAGCCCAACTTAGTGAAACTCCCAACTCCAAATATTACTCTCTATAAATTTAACATGGTGGAGATGTTCTTAGAATATTTTACAACTTAATAAAATTAATTTTTACTAAAACTTGGAAAGATTTCAAAATTTTATATTATTTAATATTTTATTTCCTTAACTAAAATTTAATTATTATAAACCTTTACTAAGTTATAAACCATTTTAATATAAAATTAAGGAATGCCAATTAAACTCCTCGCATATATGTTTGGAAATAAATATATAAATAAATATTCTTTAATTGAACGATAATTTTGTTATTAATAATTGTTAAATATTTAACTATATTCATTTTTTGAATTAAATTTATTTAAAATTAAATTATTTTCTGGAAAGTGATATTTTTTTTTTCTTTTTGAAAAGCTAAAAAAAAATGGCGCCCTTGTAGATAAAGATTAATAGAAAGACCACAATCATGAACTCCAATTACAGCCACGACTCCTTCTCTCTATATATTTGTTCTGTAACTCTCAAATCTCCCCTTACCCCTAAAAAAAAAAAGAAAAAAAAAAAAAGAAATATTCGCGACTACCGACACAAGGTAGGCTCCATTCTTCTATTGTCTCTATGTTTATAAACTATATATATATATATATATGCACTTTAATACATGCTGTTTATATGTATTGATATATCAATTTTTTGCCTTCGTTGGCATTCATTTGATTCTAGGTTTTTTGTTCTACTTTATGCATATAGATTCACTTTATTTTATTTCCTGGTTAATTGATTTCTTGTTTTAATTAACTCAGAAAGCTTGTTTTTGAATTCTTGGAATTTTATCATTTTATTATATATTACATATAATGGGGACTTATCATAAAATGATTAAAAACATTTTTGTCTAAGGCTTCTTTGTATTTTGAGATATGTCTGGCTTTTAAAATCAAGAACAGATCTAGAAATTTCTATGAGGCGGTAAATTTATATAGAGAGATTTTTTTATAATTTTAATGGAGATAATTTCAAAAATTTATGGATATAAAGACAAAAAAAAAAAAAATTTAGAGTATAAAATACAATAATAAAAAAATTTCAGTGGAACAGAGGCTCACAATAGATCCGGCCCTGATAAAAATCCTAGGACTTAGAAATTAGGTCTTACAGCAAACATTCACCTGCTGCTTTTACCACCACCACAATCTCCAAATGTAAGTAGCTACCAATGCCATCTCAACCCACTCTTGCTTATCATTTGTGAATGGGAATTTTACATTAATTCGTTAGATATTATTAAGAGTAGCATTTGTGATTTTTCTTTGTTTGTTATATTGCATGGTAGATGTTCCTATTTTTTAGAATGGAATTTTCATGTAATTCTTGGAGATGATGAAGATAACATTTATGATTTTATTTTATTTTTTATTATTTTTTTTTTTCTCTCTTTTGCATTGTTGATGTTCCTAGTTTTGGGAATGGAGTGCTGTCTTTAGCTTTCTGTTATGGATAAAGTATTATTCATTGGGTTTACCGTCAACCAAAAGTCCAGCGCCGATCTTGAGATTTTCAAATATTTTGAAGGTCTTAGGCGAACTTTCAAAATGCGAGGTATTTATACATAAGGTTTGAGTGCTTAATTTTCATTAAAATGAGACTATAAACACTAAGGTGGCTTGAAATAATTTGGGACCGTAGGCAAAAAATAAAAGGTGGCATTTTAATAATATATTAATATTAAATAATATTTATTCAAAAATCATCCTTCTTATTTGTAAAATGCAAAATTACTAATTAGATTCTTGTATTTAAGTTTGGTCAAAATATACAAAAATATGAAATATATATATATACATAAATTTATAATAACAAAAATTAATAAAAATAAAAAATATTAAAGAAAAAGAACAATAGAAACAGATTTAAAAAACACCAATCCAATGCTCCTACAAATTATTCAATAGAATAAAAATGAGTTTAATCGAGAGTAATGAGTATTGATCGAGTGGATAAGAAAGAGACCTATAAACTTGTAACGAGAGATGAAAGAGACGACTTGTTGAGAGAGGAGAGAAAGTATGTTAGGAATAAGAAAATAAATAAATAAATAAAATATAAAAGAAATATGGAAAGTTTTACCACTTTTCAAAACAATGGCTAAATACATTTTAAATATCTACTGTGTTGTTAGCTGTAAAAAAAATGCGAATTAGAGAGAGAAAAAAACGAATTTATTTAAGAATATAAATCTTTGGGACCAATATTAAAATTCTGAATGAGGAGGAGAGAGAGAAATATATAGATAGAAAAAAGAAAAAGAAAAGTCATTTAAGGATATAATCTTGGACGCCTCATATTTTTGTATTGATTAGAGTTAAATTAAAAAACGTGAATGAGGAGGAGAGATAAAAGAGAGAAAATAAAAAAGTTATTTTAAGATATAAATTTTTGAAACCCACTATTAAATTTCAATATGAATTAGTTTTTAATAATATTAAGAAATAATTATTTTATACCTTATATATAAAAAAAAAAACTTAAATTTTGAATCCTTCTAAATTGGAGACCTAGGCAACCGCCTGGGTCGCCTATACCAGGCAAAAACCCTTGGTTCTTTGTTTGAGGTTTAGTATTGTCTTGTTGATTATTATCACTCACTTCATTTTGTGGGTAGCTAGGCTTGTGATACATTTACCAAGAAAGTTTAGGAAAAAATAAAAAATAAAAATGAGTGTTATGCCTGTGCTTAAGGGGTTCATAGCCCCTCATTACCTTTTATGTACAATACAAAAGAAAACTAAAGTCATCATCGTTGTTGAGTTGATCCGTTTATTAAAGGTGCACACAGAATCGATGGAATCGTTAAGAACTGGAATCGGAGTTCGTGCTTTAGTTTCGGTTTTGGTTCCTCTTCCAATTTCTAGGAACCGTTAAGAACCAGAACCGTAGAATAATTATATATATTATGTTTTTAATTATATAATTACTAATATATATGCCTATTGATGCAAGAGATATATATAATAAATGTATGTTCTCATGTACAGTATTATATATCAAAATGCACTACGAATAATGGATTTAGATCGAGTTATTAAATTATTATTATTATTTTAAAAAAAAAAGGAACTGGAGCCGCAATCGAAACCGGAATCCGAATCGTTCCCAACGATTCCGCCAAGAACTGTAGAAACCACAACCGTGTGCACCTTTACCATTTATCAAGTACAGTGTTGGTTTCCGTTTGTCCATTTGACTATTCGTTGGAAAAGTCAAACCTTAAAATTGATCTTTTGGCCGTTAATATTTGGTTTAAGGTGGGCTCAAGCTGGAAGGCAGGAAGGCAATATTACCCAATTTTTTTTTATTTTTTTTATTTTGAACCTTCTAAATACAATGGTGATGAGTTTGATAATCGGTGTGAAAAGTCAAAGTCGGGTTAACCCTTAGAGGCCCACTAGAGGGTTCAATAATTGTTCTATCAAATTCAATCCCATGATATGTTTTTAGTACTTAGAAAAGAAGAAAATTGGATAGAAAGAAAGAATAAGGGATGAATATGAGACATACCTAGGGAAGGAATGGTGTCATTTCCTTCTTTTTAGTTGGTTGGATGGAAGAAAAAGAAGCCAGTAACACCTTACTTTATTGTTAAGAGAAGGGAAATGAATGGAATTTTTTTTCTTTTTTTTTCGTGGTGTCATGATTTTTTTTCCTGATAACCGGAGTGTCTGGAGTTTTACCCCAACTAATCCACAAGACCCGTGTAAGGCAACTCCAACCCCTACACACCCACTCATGACCACCATAAAGCTCAAACCATTCACCTCCCCTTTGAGGGAGGAGAGGTTTTTACTAGCTGGACTATATTTGATCAGTCTTCATCTGGTCGACTCAATTTAAGTTTTGAAGTAAATGCAGT